AAGTGTTCAATTTGTGTAGGAAGACGAAGAATTAAGGGAATTAAGCTAACAAACCGTCAAGCTCTAGGTAAGAACTACAACATTAATCTTTGTAGATAATTCATCTAGATGTTAGAATCAACTTGAATATAGTGAAAATAAGTTAATTATGGACATGCATGCATATTTCTTCATTTTTGAGTTTGATTTTCCAAAAATTCCTACATGCATGGAGCTCAAGCTTGATATTCTTAAAGGTTCATCATAATTCTACACTCACCGCCTCATATATCCATATTTTGAAGGAAAAAGTTGGTTCCTCTACATGCATAGCAAAATTATGGAGTTATGGGTTCTCGTTTTGAAAATTGAAGGAGATTTTGGATCTATGGTTTGAAAATGATCATGTATTCAAGAGTTATAAAGTGTTTGTACATGTCTCCACCAACCATGCAAGCTTTGAACTTAGAAACCCATGTTTTGAGACTTGAATTCTATCCTGAAAATTCCATAATCCAACTGCATTGCTCAAGCAATGAAGTCGTCGCTCGAGCGCACTTTGCATGCAACCAATATTTTTGCAGACAGATTGCCCATAGCTCGAGCGACCGTATGTCTACTCAAGCAAACTTACCTTTTATTGCACTTGGCTCAAACGACCATCGAGCCTAGATTTCGGACATCCAAAACTTTTACAGACCATGCAGACTGCTCAAGCGATTAAATGTGCGTTCGAGCAAACTGCCCTGTTTCAGTAACTTTTGAAAAATACTTTTAATTGCATACTTTCATTCTCATGATCTTTTAGGCATTCTTAAGTATTGTTTGGATATCATTCAAGATGAAGTAAGCTAGAAACACACTTAAGGAAATTAGATTAAGATATAATGTTTATTTAGTCAATGTGTTTCAATGTGTATTGCTATGTGTTTTATGTAGGTTGGTCGCCCGTAGCATAACGTCAGTACAAGCCCACTGTGAGTAATTTCTTTATAAAGATATGTTCGAAAAGCATTTTGAATTGTTCAAGAATGTTATTCTGAAATCTTATTTTGTTATCTATGAAAGAAGATCCTTTTTGAACTTGTAATCGTGGCATCCTTTAGTGAGGTCCTCGCCTGGGGGAAACAATACCATGGCCCATTGGATTAATTGAAACACAAGGTCTCTGATGTTAGATCCTAGTGGTCCACATTGAATTACCCATGTGGTTTTATTGATTGACCCATTGCGATCCCATTAAATAGACCTTAATGGTCCCATTGGCTTCAGCACATTGATATATTGTTACTTTATTGGATGTTACCACATATAATGATTTTCTTATTTTTTATTTTTTGATAAATGATACCACGTATAATGATTTGCATTGGTTATTGTTGAAACAGAAGATTGATATGAATTTGATATATGACTGTTATATGAATTGTTATGGTTATTGAAAAGATATGTTCTATGAAATGTTGGACTTTATTCATTAAATCCTTTATATTGATGTTACTCACTGGGCTCCAGCTCACCTCTCTCCCTTTTATATATATGTAGGTGAGCATGTGGATCGTCAAGTTTAAGAGTTGCTTTGAGAATCCACCCCTTTGGAGAAGCCGAATGGGGAAGTGCCTCCGTGATGGGGCGATACTTGGTCTTTAGAGAGCCAAGTCTTTGTCAACCTTTTGTGTAGTCTTTTTGTGTTTGCTTTTGGAATTGTGAAACAAGTTATATGTATGAAGCTGAAGTTGAATTTTGTTGTAAATATTATTATTATGGTATGATAGTGACTTATTCTATTTATGAGGTTAGCATGTAAGCACCACTCAATGGGTTCATTTATATTTTGTTATTACTTCTGCTAAGCCCCGTTATTATATTATGATTTGAATTTGTTATTGAGGCCGAAGGTAATCTGGGATTACTTCAGGACCTAAACCTCTAGGAGCAGGTTCAGGTCGTGACACTTTTTGATCAAGCACCTATAACTTAGTCATTAATGCATAAATTTTGCCTTGAATACAAATTGAAATCCTTGGGGTGGCTTGTGTGGTTTGATTGATTTATTTGCTTGATTTTGGTGGAAGGTGTTTGATTGAATGCATGGTGGCTAGTTTGGTTTGATTGATTTGTTTGCTTGATTTTGGTGGAAGGTATTTGATTGAAAGCACAACTTGTAGTTGGGATGATCATAAAAGATTACAAGGGTAGGGGTGGGCGTGGATCGGTTGCGGCCACGGAACTTCCAATCCGCCATCCGTCCGCCAGATTGGCAGATTGAAGAAAATCAATCCGCATCTGTCCGCTAATCTAGCGGGTGTGGATTGAACAGATTGGCGGATTAGCAGATGGATACGAATCGGTTTGGCGGTTTAAAATTTTATAATTTTTCAACAGAATTCAACTTGTACACTTTCTAAAAATTAAAAAAAAAAAGTATTATAGTCAATGACTTAAAAAAGTATTACAATCATTGGCTGCCTCATCCAAAGAAAGAAAGTTTGAAACTTTAGAATATGTTAAAACCTATCACCTACTTCACCCACTTAAACCTACTCCACTAAACCTAACCCACTACACCACTACCACCTCACCTACTCCACTAAACCCACTACACCACTTTCAAACCATCAAAACCATGAATAGAGCAGTAGTAGAGATTGTATGTCTCTGTATTGTTACATCTATATTTGTTTTTCAAAACAAAAACTATTATTTTTAGAGTTAGATTTAAAAACAAAAAAATATAGATAAATAATACATTTATTTTTTTTCAATTCAAAAAATATATTCAAGTTGACAGCTCTTTTTCAACAGAATATATTCAACATAATAGTTAAACTCTTTTTCGATTGAAAACACAAATAGAATATCTAAACAAATTGAAAATTTAAAGTCTTATAAATTACTAGGGATGCTCGCGGTTTGATAGTTCAGTTGCGGCCAAAGGAACCTCAAATCTGCCATCCGTCCAAAACTAGGCAGATTGGAAAAAATCAATCAGCAACCGTTCGCTCGTCATCACGCATTCGGTAAAAATGCAGCGGATCGGTTCGGTTTGGTCGGTTTGGGCAGATCGGTATATCCGCTGCTCATCCCTACTTGGTGGACATCTGGGAGGATGTCCGGCCCAACAATAAATTTAAATTTGATAAAAGATGAAAGACTCCATTCATTTGATGAAAGTTTTAGTTTTGACCTCTCGAGCGATCTGTGCGAGTTAGAGAGATTCTGGGATCTTTCTTTCACCGCTCGAAGGGCGGGTTCAGGTCGTGACACTTTTTGATCAAGCACCTATAACTTGGTCATTAATGCATAAATTTTTGCCTTGAATACAAATTGAAATCCTTGGGGTGGCTTGTGTGGTTTGATTGATTTATTTGCTTGATTATGGTGAAAGGTATTGATTGAATGCATGGTGGCTTGTTTGGTTTGATTGATTTGTTTGCTTGATTTTGGTGGAAGGTATTTGATTGAAAGCACAACTTGTAGTTGGGATGATCATAAAAGATAACCAGGGTTGGAAAACTAAAAAAGATTTAACCATGTTATAACCAAGAATAGCTTAAATAGTCTTCATCTTTTAGAATAATTTTGAAATTTGTTGTTTGAAAAAAACTTTTGTACTCTAATGATGTGGTGCATCACTGAGTTACATGGACTCGGCACTTTGGGGCGAAGTACCCGTGTTGACACGACACAACACGGGTGCGGGTGTGGGATCTGTGTCGGATTCGCCTGTTCTCTCTCGGACACGGCTCTTCACAAACAGCAAAAGAAATGAAAGAGGAGAGAGCAAGAGAGAACCTGGTCGAAGCTCCATCCAGTCGAAGATCGAAGACCTCCAGTCGAAGCTCTATCCGGTCAATCCAGTCGAAGATCGAAGCTCCATCAGTCGATCAAAGCTCCATCCGGTCTCTCTCTCTCGCCTTCTCTCTCTCCCTCGCGATCGCGATCGCGATCGCTTCGCTTTTTCTCCCTCTCTCTCTCTCTGTCGTTTTATCTTCTTCTTGATTCATATCTCTGTCTATATATTCGTATCTATCTATTATTATAATAACTATAATAATAACTATTATTATTATATGTTAAATAATTATTATTATATAACATATAATATATTTATAAGATAATATATACTTATATATATTAATAAAAAAAATAAACACATGTATGTAAAATAAAATAAAATAAATTAATTAGAACACATTGTTTAAAAAATATAATAAACAAATTAAATAATTAATGTATATTAAAATAAAAATATTTATAAAAAATATATATATATAATATAACTCATCTTCATAGATTTTTATTTGTTATTTATATAATATAACTCATCTTCATATAATAAATATATATATTTTTTAGTCCGTGTAACATAGGTGCATCATCTAACTAGATAAGACTCTTTAATTTTCCATCTGCTGTATAATTTAAAATGGGTTCTAATAGCGCACCCTAAAAAAAGTTGAAAAGGAAAAAAAAATGGCTGTTAAGAGGCATATAATTCCCCATTTAGTTGTATTTTCTTAGCATTTTCTAAGCAAATAATTGAAGGATTGACTCTATAGATGCAACCCAACTTGCATAAATTGTGAATCTGCAAAGGAAGTTAATAGTTTTTCATTATTTTAGTCCCAAGGAGAAACATAATAGTTATGCCTAGGCTGAACTTTTACACTATTTGTCATTGATAAACATAAATTCATCATTTTCATTTCTACAATCTTCGTATCTCATTATGTTTATATATTTTCTTCATTGTTCTCAATCATTTGATTAAAAGACATATCTACAGATTAGGAGATTTTACAAATTATTTTCTACAAATTAGGCTTGTCTTAAACAGTGTAATTTCTTATATAGGCTTCCCTAAGATGGTTTTTATGATTGGAAGAATTTAGAAACGTGTACTGTTACATTTATTAGTGACTCTTGTTGGTATTTTTTAAAAACCAAATCAAAAACCCTAATTTTTCAATTCTCAATCTAAATCCTCAATCAAAAACTCCAAATCAAAAGCCCCAAACCTGTTAATTTTTCAATTGCAAGTTGGAGGAGGAACCTGGCTTCGTCTTCTCTGATCCTCTTCGGTCTTCTTTCTCTGCGTTTTCTGCCTTCTCTCCTCTTCTTCAGCCGTCCCACTCTCCCTCTCTCTCTCTCCCCCTCTCCGTTGACATGGGTGATTTGGTAAGAAATGCTGGAAACATTAACATATGTAAAAAGAAAAAAGAAAATGAGTGAGAGCACTAATTAGTGCTACTATTAATGATGTAGTAGTAGGTCCCACCATGAATGATTTGATGTTTTAGTCTTGGTGTTGTATTTTTTTTCTTTTTTTATTGAGTGTCATGTCATTAGTGGTCTTTTTAGAGCTCCAAAATTAGTGGTCTCTATCATTGTTGAAAGAAAAATTAGATAATTTCAATTTATTTGTCATAATTAAAAAAATATCATAATTAAATATAATATGAGATATAATTAAAATTTTATAAGGCATAATTAAAATAATATTATAATTAAAAAAATTAATTATAATTAAAAAATAAAATGATATAATTAAAGGTGCATATAATTTAAAGGGATAAGTGATAAGTGATGATGACAAAAGTCAACTATTTTCTCATGTTTTATTATAAGACCATTTCTAACTGTGAATTAAAAATTTTATTAAATTCAAGTAAAATTTGATTTTATATTGTTCACTCTAATGTTAAAATTAAAATTTTCATCAGATTTTTTTACATCTCTAGTTGTCCGAGAAAACGTCCGAACAGATGTCCTAGAGGTCGTTCGAGCATGAACAAAAAAGCTGTCAAAATTACTCTTGGTGGACATCCAGGAGGATGTCCGGCCCAACAGTAAATTTAAATTTGATAAAAGATGAAAAACTCCTTTCATTTGATGAAAGTTTTAGTTTTGCCTTTATTTGATATGATTTTGGTGAAAGGGTTAAAGTACATCATTTGGCGCTTTTCATCAAATTTCAAATTTGATTAATCATCTCATGCTGGATTGGAGATGCTCCAAGTGGGAGATTTTTGAGATTTTTATAAAATAAAAATAAATAAATAAAATTGTACATACAAAAATAGAGAAAGTGATGTAACATGGTTTTGGCTTTTTTTCCTACTCTCCAAATAAGGCATAAAGTTTATTTTAATTATTATCAAAAGTAGTAAGATTTTGTGCAAAATAAATTAATTGATTGTAAAATATTTATAATATTAAAACTGTCTCTTAAAATACAAAGAAAGAAAAATAAATCTTACTCATATCACTCTCTCATATGCTTTTCTTTTTTACCCATCCAAACAAGATAATGAGAAAACAAAATTATTTCATTTCATTTCTTTTATTTTCTTACCTAAATGAGAGACCACAATCATTTCTTTTTATTTTCTCACCCTACGATCCAAACGGATTTGTCTTCTTTCTCACTCTCTACGTTGTGATCCTTTCTTTGGTTGTTTTCTTTTCTATCGCCTTTTTTTAGTGTTGTTAATTGGATCCCCTCTTCTTTGAACCCCTTCACCCCTACTTTTTTTTTGGGGTGGGGTGGGGGGACCTCATCCAATCTCCCAAAAGTACTCATCTTTTTCAACCCCTACCATTACCACAAGCTTTCTACAAACAACTCTTTTTTTCCCGTTTCCGGTAGTCCTTGTCAACCATCCACCACCTTTTTTTTGGCCACACAACCATTCCAGCCCCTCTCCATCACCTCATTCGCACCTCATCACTACCCAAGTCGCATCTCTAGTGACTCTCTTGAACCCTCCATTCACGACCATCAGCCTTTTTTGCAATTTGTCTAGATCTGGTTCGACAGCCTATGACCAAACCACTACCATTTGTTCGGTATTATATGTCCAAACAACTACTATTTGTTCAATGGTCCACATTGCATATATCTAGTTCGATAGTCTATGACTGCAACACCAATATTTGTTCAGTGATATATGTTTAAACTAACACCTTTTGTTCGACATTGGTTTTTCGAACCAGGCACTACAACTTTGATCTCTCTCTATTTGTTTCCCTTTTCGAAATCAGGTGCTACAATCTTGGGAACCATGTTATGAATAAATTTGTTACATGATTGTTGTGGACTGCCCAATTGTATGGTACATTGTGAGCATTTACATCAAGTTAATCTCCAAATAATAAAGTGTCTTCTAGTTGTAGTTCAATTTTAATGTAAACCTTAACTATTGGTTTAAGTTTGACTATTTTGTGATGTTAACAATTTAAATGTTCATATAGACGCTCACTAATATGCATGTGCATGTAACAGATGTTGCCCCTAAATTCTGCCGAAGAGGAATAAAGAGGATTACCATATCAAAAATGATAACGTGCTGACAGAGAGAATCACCCACATCGACAATGGTCGTGTTAGCTATTGTGGGGAGAGCAACTAGAACACTCAACCACCTTAAAGGTTGATGATAGCTATGAATATTCAGAACAAGAACTAGAACAAAAACAAGTATAGAGAATATATAGAGAGAACTAAACATAAAAAGACACCAAGAATTTACATGGTTCGGCAAAGCCTACCTCCATAGACAATCCCACAAATACTAGTTTTATAGGTAAATTACACTTTTCCCCCCCCTGTACTTTGTAACAAAGCTCACTTTGGTCCATACACATGAAATTATGACAATCAACCCCCTGCACTTTTGGTAAAACCGTTTGTACCACTGTCGAGGCGACTGCTTCAAACCACAGAAAGACTTCTTCAATTTACAAACCAACTTATCCTTTCCAGCAGCTCGAAACCTTAGTTGCACGACGCGGGCAGATGTAAGAGCGGGAGCGGAAAAGCATGAGCCGATAGAAGTTTCTTAGGTTGGAAGCGCCTCAGGGAGCGGTTATATATATATATATCTGTGTGTGTGTGTGTGTATAGTATGTATATATAAATAAAATTAATTCAAAAATTCAGCATGTATTTGTTTTTTGGATTGGCTTTATTTAAATATATTAAATTTGATGACTTACATTACTACACAAAAAATATAATAGAATCCCATTAGAAAATTCATCACTAATACAAATATCATTAATTCTTAATCATCTAATCGAACAAAAAGACTTGACAACCAAAAGAGTTCACTAATTCTCATAATTTCCAAAAAGTAAGCAACCAAAAAGAAAGTAAAAAACTAAGGTAAAAAAACAAAATATTACAATTCCATATAACAAAATATTTCTCTTATTCTGCCTTTTTTTCACTTTTTCTATCTTTTGCCACGTGCTTTTTCAAGTCTCCTTTGTGTTGCTACTTGTTCTATTGAATGCTCTTGAGAAGTAGGAAGTGGAAATGATGAAAATGTAGGCAATGGTGTTGGAGTTGGACATGGTTGAACATCTGAAGCTACAAGAGTGGTATCATCTTCACTGTTTGAAAGTGATACATTATCTCTTTCTTCTATTGCCATAATATCCTCTTCAATGTTGGCATCTTCTGGATGTGCATCCTAATTTTTAAAATTCTCATAGTCCTCCATGTACCTTGACAAGAGTCTATGATTATAGTGCACAAAAACCAACTTTTTAGCTCGATCAACACTTAACCTATTCCTTTTCACATTATAAATGTAGGAATAGGTACTCCAACACCTTTCTGCAAAAGAAGTATTCACACTTTGAGACAACACTTTCAATGCTAAAGAGTATAATTCAGGTGCTGCCCCACCATACAAATGCCACCATGATAGTGCATCCATGGTTGCTCTGTTATTTACTGCTTGAGGTTGTGAAAAAACTCCTTTGCAACTGACAAAATCACTAATTTGTTTTCTTATAACAGCAGCTTCAGTTTGATCAGAAATCATTTTTTCCATTACCTCAAGATACCCCTTTTGCACCTCAACATCAAAATGAGGTTTTTTCTTTCTCACACCACCTGGGGCAGATTTTGACAACCAAGAATTTTTGTAGTACTTAGGAACAAGAATATAGGCTAGACAATGCAAAGGAATGTTCATCTTATCCCATCTTTCCACCACAAATTGATGTATCAAATCATAAACAATAGGATCATTTGAATGAGTATCCTTAATGTTCCCTAACAGAGTATCCATCAACTCATAAACCTCTCTAATCACAGTCTTATCAGAATCTGAAAATCTAAGCATCTTATAAATGTGTTTTGTGATGGTGAGGACTCTTTTTGCTTTTCTCCAAAAATCATCATCCATAATGGTTTGGTGGACAATGTCATGCTGATGAGGAAATGTACTTTTTCTCAAATTTTCCCATTGTTTGCTTAGAGCCATGGACAACAAAGCAGGTCTGACTTTAACAAGACGTTGTAAAACAATGAAAAGGTGCCCAAACCTAGTCCTCTTTACTTTGAGAAGATCCAGACTGGAAAATGTTTTGAACAAGTATTGACAAGATCTATGGTTTTTTTTTATGTATTTTACCACTTCTTTACCCCTCTTATACAATTCATTAACAAATAACAAAGTTGGATCCTCGCATTTGGCTATGTCTTTCATCAAGAGATTCAAAGTATAGGCTAAGCAACCTGACTAGAATATATGGGAATACTTGTGTTGAATTATTGCTCCAACTGCCTTGCAATTAGTGGCATTGTTGGTAACTACTTGGACCACATTGGAGAGTCCAACAAATTGAATTGCTTTAAACAACAAATCAGCAATATTTGTTTCATTTTTCTCTTTTGAAAAAACGTCATATCCATTAATAAAAATGGTCTTACCACCAAAACAACCATGATGTTAATCAAAGTTTGATTCTTTAAATTTGGCCAACCATCAGAAACAATGGAAACTCCATATATGCTCTAATCTTGTATTAAAGGGTTGAGGGATTGTTGAACTTTGCTTGGTTCTTTGTCCAACAAGCTGGTCCTCACCTTCTCATAATTAGGAGACTTGTACCCTTTTGGAGCATTATTACTAGTAGTAACCATATTTGCCCACCATGGAGACCTCACAACATTAAAAGCAATGCCATTGCTATAAAGACACCTAGCAACCGTTCGGTCCGCTTCTTCTCTATTTCTTACATGAAACATGTTGTCAATTGAAACTGTGACTGAGCGTGGCACATCAGAGGACCTAATAGTTTGAGATTGTACTTGTGATGTTAAAGTGGACCTAGGAAATTTTCTGGCCTTGGCATTTCCCAAAAACAGTCGTTGTGCATCTAGTTCCTCTTGTTTTAGCAACT